AACAACATCCTTACAGGCTTTACAGACAGATTGGCTATAACGCAGGATATGGTTCAAAATATGCACAATTTCCATAATATATTTGACACAAAATATTTTGAACAATTAAAACATCTCAGACCAATATACCAAATTTCTGTCATTGGTTTCTGTATTGTATATTTGACAAGCCTTCAAACAGGTTTCTTCATCTTGACCATGTTGACAAGATGGAGCCCATCGTGTCAGAACAATTTCACATTGTTGTCATCAGTATTTTCACATTGTGTTAATGTATCCGAAAAACACACACAGTTTAGGATTTTCTTGTTGTCTGTTGATGTCATTTATGAATGAATTGCTGAAATAAAGCCTTGTTCATTTCACATTTTATTGATGACACATCGGCATTCTCAGAAAATATGAATGTAACAATGACGCCATCAATATTGTGACATTTGAGACAAGTATTGCATTTCAGGCAACAGAAGATGAAAATGGTAAACGTGAAATAGACAATTTGCCAGTGCTGTGTGGTGATTGGCATTTGCTACACAACATTTGTAACCTCTGTCTGCCACAATGTAAAATGAATGACGTATCTGCCACAATACACCATGAAGACAATACCAGTATGGTAGTGATGTCATATCACAAGTGCAGGTATATTTGATAACTTCGAATTCCACCACAACCTGAAGCAATCAGTCTGTCACAAACACACTCATTCAGGTTTACCACATAATTCAACAATCTAAATTCATCCATGTATAAAAATATGTGTACAATATATTTTTGACATATAGGAACATTGTTGACATATGTGTTTCTAACAATAGGTGGAATGTGGCAAACATCAGCACTATCTAGCACATACTTTGACAGCTTCGTCTGTATCTTGTACAGATTGTATAGAGCTTCTTTATCAATGACTTAAAATACAGGAAATTAAGTTAGAAACAATAACTGATTTATTTTATGCGGTTTAACGATTGCCTGTGAGATAAGACAAGAACAGTCTATGAATCCACCTTAGAACTCCTACAAGTTGCTTGATCTTATTTTCAACAGAATAATTGAATTGTGCAGAGCAGGTCTCATGTCCATTGTTGCCGGTACATTATGAAGGTATCACAGTTCACCAGGTGTGAGGCAGCTGACAGGAAGTCCACAGACAAGGGGCTGGTGGACCTCTATCTGCCTCACTGCCCACAGCAATAACACTCACCCAGCAACTGACTTCAAATACTTTCTCAGTAGAAAACAAAAATAAAAGCTTTTAGAAATGTCTTTTTTTTATTTGTGATTTGAATGGGATCACATATACAAGTGGGGGCAGCACACTTTATTTAGTGAACAACAGCACATACAATCCAACCCCTTCTTATTAACCATTTATTCAGTATCATAAAGCCTAACATCAGATTTCTCTACAAACCTCGCAAAAGATCAAGCTACTAAATATGTACTGCATTATTTGAAACCTCCTGGATGTGTTAGAACTCTGAAGAATGCTGTTGCCTGATCCACTAACATAACTGACAACTTATATTGAAAAAGTCATGGCTACAATTTAGATTATTTATGATACATTACTTTTCAAACTTTCAAGTTCAAATCATAGATATTATAGTTTAATAAGGTTAAAAATCAAATTCTTCATGGTTAATGCTTGCTTGAGTGACCATGAATTTTACACAGAACCATTGACATGCCTAAATTCCATTTATTCCTCAAGTACTAGAAAGATTTTGTTCATTCTGTTCAACTTGACCTTGGTCAAATGTAATCCTTCCCACGACATGATCAAATCTGCTACTTGCTTTGATACAAATTAAATCTGATCCTTCCCACGACATGATCAAATCTGATCCTTCCCAAGACATGATCAAATCTGATCCTTCCCACGACATGATCAAAACTGGTACTTCCTATGATACAGGCTAAATCTGATCCTTCTCATGACATGATCAAATCTGATCCTTCCCATGACATGATCAAATCTGATCCTTCCCACGACATGATCAAATCTGGTACTTCCTATGATACAGGTTAAATCTGATCCTTCCCACGACATGATCAAATCTGATCCTTCCCACGGCATGGTTAAATCTGATCCTTCCCATGACATGATCAAATCTGGTACTTCCCACGACATGATCAAATCCGATCCTTCCCACGACATGATCAAATCTGGTACTTCCTATGATACAGGTTAAATCTGATCCTTCCCATGACATGATCAAATCTGATCCTTCCCATGACATTGGTTATGTGGGATAACACATACAGTGTTACTTATCGGTCATGTTTATAAAGCCAGCGAGGCAGTAACTTGCTCTTAAACATAATGTAACAAGAGACAGGAGACGTGGCTTGACACATGTACTGATGTAGGGAGTTACACTGCTTATACCAAAGGACAAAGTATTATAGTTCAGATGTGCCATGTTACATTGGACTGTGTTGTCTGATTACTGAGATCAACATAGCAAGATAGATGTCAATATTACCTTATTATTAAATATAATTCGGTATGGGGAAACTGTACATTGTGCTATCAAGTACATGGACAGGGAACAACCATGAAGGAATGAAGATGATACCAGTTGAGTTACAACCCATTTGCACCTAGCTGTGCTCAAAGGGACACTACATGGCCTCCCTGCTCTCATTCACTAGTCTGTGTCACAGTCCCTAAACCATATTATTTTACCTACAGCCCAGCCCTACCTGCAATGTTAAAGCCCTAAATAAAGCAAGTCTAGATTTCCCCAGGTTCTGAATGTCTGGTCTCCCTGGGCTCCTTTTCAATTTAAATGGGTGTATTTGTTACAATCAAAATCATATATATTCAGAGACTACGCGTTAATCTATTCATTCTCTAGGGTACACCAAAAACAAGTCAACTGCACCTAGATGCACTCAAAGGGACACTCCATGGCCTCCCTGCTCTCATTCACTAGTGTACACCATATACAAGCCAGCTGCACCTAGATGTACTCAAAGGGACACTCCATGGCCTCCCTGCTCTCATTCACTAGTGTACACCATATACAAGCAACTGCACCTAGATGTACTCAAAGGGACACTCCATGGCCTCCCTGCTCTCATTCACCAGTGTACACCATATACAAGTCCGGTGCCACAAGATATACTGCTACTTGACATCAGCTACTATCACACATCTTTGTCATTGGTGTCATTGTGGAACACACAAATATTACAACTGCAACACAAAGGGATTTATCTACACAATAATCCAATAATCAGTTTGAATCACGGCAGCTAAAGTTAATAAAATTTCAAAACTTCCCTATATTCATGTTAATATAGTTATAAGTAATATATTTGCCTAGTTAAGGTGAGCTGTATTTCCCACTGATAACAGGATGATTAAAAAGGAACTGCATGAAGCTGTGACTGTTAACTAATGCCCTAACTTATGGGGGAGGTGTGGTTGTGCATCAACCCCTCCCCTCAATCAATCCTCATCACTGATGGGATTAATCTCATGAGCAACAGAAGAGTCAAGAGACACTTTTTGCAATAACAAGAATACCAGAAATTTAAGAAACAAATAAACACATTTGGATTGAAGAACCACATTACCACTTGTCAACAACTGGTTGCAACTGAGTGAAAGAGTGAGAGAAAAGATGGCAGCACATAACATTTATTATTATGTACAACTCTTTCTATTGCTAATACCAAAAATGTGCTGGCTGTGAATTATTAATTTTTCCTCTCCATTAAATCAATCAATCCCATATTTGCACACTAGGAAACCAAAATAGCTCCATAATTGAGCGTGTTTGCCTGGAGGACAAGTTTGTGTCAAATATTGACAGGTAGTATTTCTATACCTGTGATTATTGTACTAAAGATTAAATATGTTATGTCGTGCTAATAATGAATAAAATAATACAATGACCAATTACTAATACACATTTTCATGATATAATCATATTTTCATAATTAATATATATATATATATACATATAAAACACTTTTGGAGCATCCAGTTGAAAGTATTTACATCGAAAACAAAAAGCTAATATTCCATTTGCATCATCAGGTATTGTAATGATACAAATGACACATTTTACAGAACTTAAGCCGCAATGTTTTGTTTTAAATTTCAAACATATATATATATATAATATGTTTTGATAAGAACTACAAATATCCTAATATACTTCGACACAAATACTAAACATATGTGTACGGTGTCCTTAATATGAAAGAGATTTTTCAAGACATGAACTAATACGCCATAAGCAACTATTACTGTTTATGATAGGACATTTTATTAGTTCAAATATTCTGTTAAAATAAAATTTAACCAAGTTCAGATCCAAAACCACAACTACAGAATGAACATTACAATGATCACATATTTGATATCAGCAAAAAGAGAGAAAAAACTTAGTAATGATAAACTGATGCGCAAAATCTACAGCATGGGCTATGATCGTGCTGTGACAGTCACAGATAACAGGTACGTAAATGGGCCCGACTACATCCGGGCTATATTCAGGGTACACCTCGATAACCTACCCAACCCACAGGCGCTTCACGGCACGCGCGTGTGTCATACCGCACAGCAAGCAAAGGTGTGACAATCAAAAATATTTAACGTGTTTATTCCTACCTGTGAATTACCGATAATCAGTTTGCGTATAAATTGCTAACCGCAATTAAACGCTTAAACTGCGATTGATGTGGCCACTTTCAGCAATTGACATGACGCGCACTGCAATATACACGGTTATAAGCCAGTGCGATATGACAGGTATTTCACCCCCGGCCTGTCCTCACTTGTCCCAAAAGTTTATAATGGCAACAATTTCTGACACAAAGTTACAATATTTCACTGTCATTTCATACTCGGTTGAGTTCAGTGTTTTATACACCTCAGTAAAAGCGACAACTAGCTACCCGAGTTATTGCGTTACTTTGAGCGAGCATTGCCTTAGCCTATATACTGGCTAGGTAAACAAAACACTGGCGTACCTTACCTTGTTCATTAGCTAAGTCCATCAGACCCACGGTAACTCCAAAAAAAGCACAATAATATAGGATCTTAAGCGCTGAAATTATCTGTCGAGCCATCGTTTACTCCACGAAGAGTTAGTCCAACTTTTTCACTTTAACTTCATCGTTGTACGAGTTATACTCCACTAGGCCTTCACAGCACTTCGCACTGTGAGTTAGGCTTTTCGCCTCTTGCCGACTGATGCCGAACTCACCGGATATACGTCACGAGTGAGTAAATGATTGGCGCGCGCTCAGTCCCCCGCCATGTAAACAAACACGTGCACGCGGAGAATTAGCCAAGTTGGACTACGCTAGAGAACAGAGCGTACTTCTATTTACACCACAACACGCGTGTGTTTGCGGGGGACCGAGTGGTCGGCGTGAAAGGTTCCACAGAAGACTGTGCTGCCACAGCTTATACAACGCCAACATGGGGAACGGACTGGGGATTTGCATTCATCACATTCGTACAATTTCGTTGATATTAAACAATTTGGGAAGGTGATTTCCTGACGGTTGAAAGGTTTCATCGAAACCATTGAATTTAGACTGAAAAGTGGTTTCTAATAAACAATTTCAGTTGCTTATTCCAGATATATCTGATCATAGATGACAGTATGTATGTGTTATGTTTATTAAATTGGTTAAAAGGGGTAAGAATAAGCAGTGTTTGGTGTTAAGCATCCGCAGTGTGGGGGTGGGTGTGTGTGTGTGTGAGGGTTTGTCTCATATATACAAGTACATACATACATATAATACATGTGTGTGTGTGTGTATGTATGTTTGTATATGTGTTTATTCTTAATTGATTGGAAAGGAACAAGGGCGAGAGTAACAATGTGTTCGTGTAGCTATATTCTGTATTTTTAAAACAAAGACAGAACGTGTTACCCGGCCATTTCTAGGTTGTCGGTGAACTCTTACAGCTTTCACGTAGCCATGTGAGTCCCTTAATGTATCTGATTCCAAAGAAGATGTAATTTTAGAGAGATCCCCGACACTAAATCCAACTAGCTGGGACAAGATCATATAAACCTCCATGTCACCAGAGCGTGTACTCTACGATGCATGGTGGCCACTGAGTGATGCATGGTGCGTGTGAAAGCCGCGGCGGTCTAAAGCATGATCGTTGGTAATATTGATGCACGATCGCTGATGTCTGACGTAGAAAAGCTTCAACCTGTTGAAGCAATGTTCGTGAGTGTCTTCGGCATGACAATCGAGGAACTGACACATTGCTCCCAGAAAAACTGCAGTTTCGGTTTTGTAAATCGTTGTTAGGAGTAGACAAGAAAACACATAATTGGGCCTGTCGCACAGAACTAGGTGTGTAACCATTACTAGTACCAATCATCAAAAAGATAATTGATTACAAGTTCCATATAGATAACACAACAAATATCATCCTTAAAGACCCCATGGAAGCAAATATCAGTCTCTGTGATCACAATATAGGCTGGGTTCATAAAGTTAATGAAATAAAGCAACTTTTGAAATAGTGAGCATGACTAAATGTAATTTATGATACCATGAATAACCTCCAGTCCAAATGTGAAGACATGTTCAAGCATTCATTAAGTGATTCTTCTACATCAAATAACAAATTAAGAACATACAGATTGGTCAAGTCATCTAGAAAACTCGAGAATTGTCTATTTCATATTGTAAAACCAAAGCTCATATAGATCACATTTCTCAAAACTACGGTTAAGTAATCATAAACACATAATTGAAACTGGAAGATATACAAAACCTGCAACTCCACTAGAACAACGTCTCTGTGAAATGTGTAATGTCTTAGACGATGAGCAACACTATATAATATCCTGTACAAAGTATAGCAAAGAAAGAGAATCACATCTACAAACAATGCTTAATCATGATCAAGAATTTGCTACACTCTAAAAAAGAACAATTCTTAACATTTTTCACAAACAGAAGTCCTGAAACAATTTCCAAAATATGTCATCATATTTACAATTTTGAATGAATTCTGTGAATTACCATAGTATTACCATTCTGTGTATTACCATAGTATTACCATTCTGTGTATTACCATAGTATTACCATTCTGTGTATTACCATAGTACCTCATATTGTTTCCATGTTTCATTATATTACATATGATTTGTGAAATTGTTAAAATGTACATAATTTATATGTGAAATGTATCTGTATTTGTATATCATTGTACCTACTTTGTTTATTTCTGTAGTTTATAGAATATCGCCATTGTTCCTTCATGCAGTGCTGTGCAATAAATATCTTATCTTATCTATGAATACTGTTTTCGCATAATGATTCGTGTTTGGCGTGTAGTTTTTGGAGAGCTGAAAGCATGCTATATTGCTACATTGTTCCATTATTGCTATCTGCAGTATGTAAGCTGTGCATGCTATATTGCTACATCTTGTATGTGTAAGCATGCTATATCTATGAATACTGTTTTGTAAGCATGCTATATTGCTACATCTGTGTATGTGTAAGCATGCTATATTGCTACATCTGTGTATGTGTAAGCATGCTATATTGCTACATCTGTGTATGTGTAAGCATGCTATATTGCTACATCTGTGTATGTGTAAGCATGCTATATTGCTACATCTGTGTATGTGTAAGCATGCTATATTGCTACATCTGTGTATGTGTAAGCATGCTATATTGCTACATCTGTGTATGTGTAAGCATGCTATATTGCTACATCTGTGTATGTGTAAGCATGCTATATTGCTACATCTGTGTATGTGTAAGCATGTGTGAGAGAGTAAATCCACCAATGCAGGCCATACAGTGCCATGACTGTGTCTCCTCCTCAGACTGGGGGATACAACGACATACATTCGCTGCATTCCCTAGAGTGGGATAGTCTGGTGAGTTAACGCCACGCTGATTCAGTCCTGTTCGGCGGTTCGATTCCCCGCATGGGAGAAATGTGTCCAACCCGTATCTGGTGTCCTTCGCCATCACCGCATTGCCAGAACATGTATATGCAATGCTCCAAACCTCCCTGGTTCGCTCGCCCACTCTACTCAGACAAATACAGTTTCTGCTCACGGCCACGGGTCGGTTTGATCCAATGTTTCACATCTCTAGTTTGAGAGGTACAGTTTTCACTAACTGTTTCACATATCCAGTTACAGGGTAACAGTTTTGCACTCAGTTTCACATCTCTAGTTTGAGGTTCACTGTTTTCATTCACTGTTTCACAACCCTGAAGATGCGGGTTAGAATTGACCTTCAGTAACCCATGCTTGTGGTAAGAGACGACCTACGGCATCGGCTGGTCACGCTTGCTGACTTGGTTAACATATGTCATCGTATCCCAATTGCGTAGATCGATGCTCATGCTGTTGATCTCTGGATTGTCTGGTACAGACTCGATTATTTACACACCGCCGCCATATAGTTGGAATATTGTTGAGTATGGCGTAAGACTTAACTCTCTCTCTCTCACTCACTCACTGATTCACATCTCTAGTTTCAGGTTTACAGTTTTCATTCACTGTTTCACATCTCCAGTTTGAGGGGTACAGTTTTATTTACTGCACCTCGTCGATTACTTGAAGGGTACCCGTTTCATTCACTGCTCGGTGTCTCTAGTTTGGGCACAGCTTTCATTCACAGGTATATCCACTGCATGACGACACGGCCACCTTGGCGCCACATTTGCCGCGCTTTCCCAGATCATCAATGCACTTTCGTCGAGGGTCCGGTCGCTTACTACCGAGGATATTAATATTACAACATATACCACTTCTGACCTAGAAGTGACAAGTAAATACATCACACAATGTAAGCAATATAAAACACAGGTGACCTCTGCCCTATTTGGAGAGTACTGGAAGCGCTTATTTGAATGGGACGTTTTAGCATTACACTGGAAGAACATTAGTGGAACGACTTGATCCGCACACATCCTTTAACACTCAACATAGCTGGCCCCGGTTAGTGCACACACGGTATCGGAGGCTACACCATAAAGCCATCATCCTGTGTGCTTGAGGGTTGGGGGTTCGCGTGAGGATGTATTCACGTTTATGACAAACTAATCTGCACATGGTAAATATGATGGCTACTGTCAGTTGTTGGTGAATGGTAGCAGTTGTTTCAGTTCACGTCGTCAGGAGTCTAGAGGTGCTGTAAAGGGAGGTAGGAAAGTGTTTCAAAGAAGGAATCCCCGGATAGTAATTTCTTTCCAATTCTAAATTCACCACGACTAGATGAGCTAAATTGCGGACGTTTGAATGGTTGATTTGTTCACCTCACCAGGACTGGTTAGAGATAGGGTCTATGAGACAATGGTGAAGGAAGGTTCTCACTATATGATCTAACTGTGATAGAAGTAGTCACTACGCGGCCAATACACGTCGACTACTGTTTGAGTGCCTGCATCAGACACTGGTATAGAAGGCGGCAGCGGCATCATGAAACGCCCTCCACACGAGATTTAACATCGTCGTCATTTGCATAATACTTGCCAGGCAGCTTTAGAGATCTGAGAAGAAGTAGAAATCTGGTGGTGTCAAACCTCCGTAATATGTGAGGATGTTCCGCTGTCATTGTCACTGGCATGAAAACATCTTTGTGCTCAGGTGTATTATTCTGTGGTGTAACAATACACCCTTAGTCATTACTCCGCAATGTTTAGCTTTAATATTCCCAGAATCATTATCACTTAAAGGTTTAACCTTTCTGGAAGAAGTCCTCTCGTAGCTTGCCCTTGGAATCCAAGAACACAATAGCTACCACCTTGAGTTGATAAAACACACTTTGCCTTCTTCGGACTGACTGACTGACTGAGTTTTGGTTTTACGCCGCTTTTAGCAATATTCCAGCAACATCACGGCGGGGGACACCAGAAATGGGCTTCACACATTGTACCCATGTGGGGATTCGAACCCGGGTCTTCGGCGTGACGAGCCAACGCTTTAACCACTAGGCCACCCCACCGCCCGCCTTCTTCGGAGGGGCGTTGTGTTTCCTCTACATTCACTGTTGTTTGTCCCCGGCTGACAGAGGTAAACTCTATACATACTTTCAGATACTTCAACAAAATCAGTTATATATGCCATTTGAATTGGTATGTTCACAAAAGAGATGATGAACCAAGAGCGTTTCTGGTCAGGAATCCGAAGCTCTCACTCATGAAAGATACCTACTTTCAAATTATTGGCTATGCGACGTGTGATAGGTCGCCTATCAACCATGTT